TGACATTTCCCATACCTTCTGCATTAAGATATTTGTCATCAGCACATCTGATCTTTGTTCTCTTTTCAGAGTCAAAGTCAACCAGCCATTTCTTGTTTCCAGTAAGATGATTTGAACAGCCAGTGTCCATATACCACCAGTCTGTCAGATCCACATTATCAGATTCAGAGGCCATCAACAGCACAGATTCGTCATCAGAGCCTCTGGCTATATTTGCTTCTTCTGATTTCTTCTCCTTGTTTGACCAACAATCTCTAGCAAAATGGCCAAACTTCTTACAACAGTAACATTGTATTTTTCTTTTGTCATACTTCTCTTTTCCCCTCTGAGCATTCTTTTGTCTATCAGAGGTTGAGCTTTCTGACCTCTGACCACCATCAGATCTTCTCCTGGCTTCTGACTGCTTCTGATACCTCCTATCAGAAGTTGTTTTCAGAGCCTGCTGTTCTACTTCCTTTTCAGAGTTTCTCTCAGTCAGACGCAACTCTTGCGCTTCTAGACTGCTCTGCAGCTCTTCAATTCTCATTGTGCTCAGATCTTTGGAATGTTCTATTGCTACCACAATGTAATCAAATTGAGGAGTAAGGGATCTCAACACTTTCTCCATGATTGTTTCTTCAGAAAGAGTTTCTCCACATGCCTTCATCTCATTAGTGATCAGAATCACTCTGGAGATGTATTCAGAAACTTTCTCATTATTCTTCATGTTGAGATTCTCATATTGCTTTCTCAAGGACTGAAGCTTCACCTTCTTCACTGATGCGTCACCACCATAACATCTCACCAGAGTGTCCCATGCAGCCTTTGCTGTTGTAGAGTCTGCAATCTTCTCAAACACGTTTACATCCACACATTGATGAATGAAGAACAATGCTTTCTGATCCTTCTTCCTTACTTCCTTCTGCGCGTTTTTCTGTTCATCAGTCGCATCTGCTGCTACCGGAACATAACCATCAGTGACAAGATCCAGAACATCTTGAGCACCAAACAGTACACGCATTTGGATCATCCAACGATTCCAGTTTTTACCATCAAATACTGGAAGTTTGGTGTTCATGTTGCCGTTTCCGTTCATCTTCTACTTTGCACAATACACTCAGAGTTTTCTCACACAGTGTTTCCCAACCCACAGAATTTAAAAATTCTGATCAGATTTTGTTCAAGATTCAACAAGAATCTGAGAAACAAAATCAAACACACAAGACCTCACGTTCACTCGTGTTTCCCGTGTTTCCCAATGAATCTGAACCGGAGCTCTGATACCAATTGTTGGTGCAAAGGTAGAATAAATGATGAAATAGGAAATATTCTATCAAAGAGAATGACGGCTACAAAACATAATTTAAGTTACAATGATTGTCACCCTATTTATAAGCTAAAACTAGGGTTACTAGAATAAGATAAATACTAAAATACCCTCTAACAAACTTAGGGGCCAAGAAAATAGTACAACTAAATAAATATGAATTATTAATAATATTCTAATAAGGAGAAGACAACACCTAAGACGCCTCCACTCAGAGATGAGAAGTCGCCTCATAGGGAGGTACAACAAATTCATTATGGGATAAAAAAGCAAAAAGGAAAATTAAACTCACATGTAGATGAATCTAACGAGATAGAAGTCATTTTGAGATAAAATATTGAAGAAATAATCATTGATTTTTTAACCTAAAATGAGGAGCTCGAGAAATCATTGAAGCGAGAAAGAAGAAATGAGAAAATGGAAAGAATAGTTCCACCCCTCAAATACATGCTTAACAAATCAAATGAAAAGCTTATGAATCCAATGATTGGCAGTCAAGGATTCAAGATGTCGTGAATGGACAAATGTTTAAATACCACATCATTTAGAAAAGTCTCATTCCTCGTTAAAAGCATCATTATATTTGTGGTTTTCGTAAAAATAATCAAGTCATGCCCCAACCTTGAGATATTCACCTATTGGGTTAGGGTACACATAGAAAAGGGAAGGGATGCCATAAATAACAACAAATCAAATCACTCACAAACGACGGTCCCATCATGGGTGTTGGGAGTTCACTAAAAAATTTCAAAGATAAAAGTGTGACGTTCATGGTGTGTATTGTATGACCCCTTACTGTAATCACCTCACCAGGTCCCATTAAGGATCATAGTTGCAACCATTATTAAGGGAAATATGGCATGGCTTGAAGAGTTTTGATACTAAACCATAGTTCGCCTTCGTCGATCTAGACTTGAAGCCTATTGCTTTGGTTTGGGCCAACCTATAGGAAACTAGATCACTTAAGTCTTCAGAAGTAAAACATGCAGGGAGATGAACTTGTAGGATCATGTGACATTTATCTCTTAAAACAATTGTCTTCAGATAAGATTCTAAGGTCTATAAACCCTATAATATGACTATAAAATCTAAAGAATAATTTAGACTCAAGTACACGTTATTTTAAACCTTAAACTTCGCACATATAATCATATTTGAACATATACACAATGGTCCATTGAAACACAGTTCACTAACATCACCAACATCATCAACAACTGAAAGAAAAATTTTTCCAAACTACCTAGCAAAAGTGCAAGTTTAGCTATAATGAGTTCAATTCTCGCATCTAGAGTGAGACCTCTTTGATAAATATTGTCAATGATTATGTAATTGCTCTATGAAGGGAGAAGAGATTTTTAATTAAATATGTTTGGTTCAAATTTTAAGAGGAGAAGGGAGGGGAGGGAAGGGGAGCAAAATTCCTCCAAAATACACTTTTTGCTTCCCTTCAATTTGGAGGGATTTGGAGAGGAGAGGAGGGAATATGAGTTTGGATATTTAAAAAATTATTCTATTTACTAAAATATCTTCAGTTTAATTTTAGTATTTCAAAATTATTTATTTTCTTTCTTGTTACTACTTTCTGCTGTGTGATTTTCTCGATTGTTTTCATCATCTTATTATAATTGTTATCTACATTCAAATTATTTTAGAATTTTTGTACTTTATAAAAATCATAATCATTGCACTTTTTTTTTTTGTTTTTTAATTAAAAATATTACGTTTAGTTACATTCGTTTTTTATTCTAATTTTGTTATATATCATATCATATTTTTTTTATATCAAATTTTAAACCATTCTTTTTTTCATTTATGCATTTTATTAAACATTTTGAACCATTAATATTTAATAATAATTTATTTTATGTATTTGTTTGTTAGATGATTCAGCATAATTTAAACGTTGTTATCAACATATAATTTAATTTATATTGGAGAGTTATAATCTGAATCAAGTGTACTCAATTTTTTAACGTTATGTGGAAAATAAATACTTTTTTAGTCATTCAATATTAAAAATTTTATTATCATAAAAAATATGTATGAATTTTTCACATATGAATATCATATCACCTATATAAGATCATAAGAATAAAAATCTAAATTATTAATAAAATCTCTCTCCTCCCCTCCTGAACCAAACACATTTTTAATTAAAATTTCTCACCTATATAAGATCATAAGGATAAAAATCTAAATTATTAATAAAATCTCTCTCCTCCCCTCCCCTTCCCTTCCCTCCATTAAAATCCCTCCCCTCCCCTCATTTGAATCAAACAGACCCTAAGACTTGATTGCCGTCAAGTGAGCATCAAAAATCAACTCATCTAATTTTAAAAAAAAAAAAAACTAAATTATCAAAATAGACCATTCATAATCTCTTCCCCTCTGCTGATTACTTTCGGTAGATCAAATCGATAATACATCCCGTTTTTTAAATACAACTTTCCCAAAAACAATAACTATGTATACAAATCAAATTATTAACTTGAATTGAAAATTTGGAGGTTAAGGATCAATAAGCATGATGTATCAAAGTCAAAAAGTTTAAATGGCCGAAACTATGGTAGTAAGAAATGAAAGCCTAATTAAGGACATTATGTGATAAAGCGATGATTTGAATGCCATGACTCAACGTATTATACAAGGCACACATGTTGTGCGCCCATAAATGTTTCATGTCCCACCAACTCCTCAATCCACGCATAACTACTCGCTATAGACTTTTACCCATCTTCCTGTCCTTTTCATTCTACAATATTCTTGCAATTTTCCAACTTTTGGTTGAAATATGTTAAGAGAAAATGAAACATGGATTCTAAATAATATTTAATTACTTTGCTGTTTACTATAATTCAAAACACAAAAAATTGGATGGAGTTGGCACTCCTATAATTTTAGACATCCTTTGATAGCGCCATTAATATATTTTGGTATGATACTTTATGGGCCGTTGGATATGAATGTAAAATTGGACTATGAATGCAATGGTTGTGTCATAATCTATGATGCAACTACCCTAATTAAATATGGCTTTGCTTGCAACAAAGGAAAAATTAAATACCCTAATTAAATGTTTAGCTATCTTTTGGATAGAGCTAACACAAAGCTATGAATCTAATAGCTAAGCTTTTGTACAAGATTAGCAATTCAATTAGAATAACGTGGATTTCGTAGGAAACAAGTAACCAATTTTGTTGAGTTTAATAGAATTACATTGATAGTATTAAAAAAAATTATTATGTCATTTAATGAGAGTATATCATTAATTTAAAAATTTTAATATAATTGGACGAAATATATAATCATTATTGATTGACAATGTAAAATTATATCTATATTGTTCCGTTAAGTCGACTCAGATAATAATTATACTAACACATTAGAATCAAAAACGTAGATTTGCATCTGCAATATTCTTCTAACATAAAATTACAAAAAAATCCCCTAAAACTAACTGGATAATCACTTACAAGTGACTAACTAACTATGAGTCATTCTAAATGAACTTAAATAAACAAAAGTGACTCTTGTAGAGGGACCACAATCACCCAACTAAACTCCATTAATTTGCACAATTTCACACCTAATGAGTTGAAAAGAACATAAAGAGATGAACAAAGTGCTCTATAAAAAGACACTTGAGGCACTCACACTTTTGCATCACTAAACCCATCTTCCCTCTTCCACTATGTCTCCATCATCAAACTACATTTCTTTTCTTCTCTTCACAACCCTCTTATTTCCTCTACACACCATAGCCAGAGAAAGTGAATTCTTCAGCAAAGTCACTCACTTCAACAAAGAAGAATCACCAACCGTCACAAACAAACCAGAAGAGCAACAACCATCTTTCCTCCCTCAAACTGAAAACAGCTATGGCTTATATGGCCATGAATCCGATCACCTTCCGACGAACACCGCCGCAACGAACTCCGAGTTCGAAAACAACAACTACAACAACAAGTACTACAACAATGATGCCTATAACACAAAGTATTACAACAAGGATCCTTTTGGAAATAGCCAAAATGAACAAAGTTACAATTACAACTCCATGATGGAAAAACAAAACAACAATGAAAGACCACTCTACAACAACAACAACAACAACTATTACAATGGTGAGAAACAAGGGATGAGTGACACAAGATTCTTGGAAGGTGGAAAATATTTCCATGATATTAACAACGAGAAATACAATCCAACAATGTATGGCGATTCATATTCTACAGGAGTTAACACAAATAATTGGTACAACAACAGAGGTAACAGCTATAACTCTAACAACAATGGATACTACCAGAATAACCATGGAAGCTACAATGGTTATAAGAACCAAGTGGTGGATCAGTTTGAAGATGAACAAAATGAGTTTGAGCCATGAGAATTTGGTTTGGGATCATCAGCAAAGTGAAGAATTCATTTTACTTTTGAAGTGTTTATTGTCTGTGTTTTTTCTATGTTTTACTGTGCTAATTTGGATTAAAAAACAAGATTAAAGAATATATAAGTTAATTAGTTATATTATGAAAGTTTTTTTTGGTTATGTTTTTACTTTTTTATATAATATAAAATATTGTTTTTGTTATTGTAATGTTTGTTTTTTTCGTCAGAATTCTCTTTCTCCGAGATAGATTAATCTATTTTAAGGGTTAGTTCTAATATTTAATATTTAATTTTTTTATTAAGTAAAAGATATGTTTGAAATAATAATTAATATGAAATGAATATTTGTTTGATTTTTTATTTATTAAATTGTAATTTTTTTAAATAAAGAAAAATATATATGGTGGAATTTTAAGATAATTTCTTCAACTTTTTTTAGTCTCTCCTTAAGTTGCGGTGCTTAATTTTCTTTTGCATGATGTTATATTGGACAAATTGTGTTTGTGTGGGAACATGCATTACTATATTTTTTGTCTACAATGTCCCCATTTGACTTGAAAATCTGGGTCTATCAGGATAGACTATGGAGTTCTTTTTGATACTGCTCACTCATTAAATAATTACAAGATGTTTTAAGAAAATTATATCTCTTTTAATATAAACTCTTTATAATTTTTTAGATCTAACTTTTTTATATAAATATATATTATATTAATACTTCATTTGTCTCATATTATAAAATCAATTTTTTATATTTGTAGTCTTAATGTAGTGATTAAGAATAGGGATGGCAAAAAATCCGTGCCCGCATGTATCCGCGAATATAATCCGTCACGGATATAATGTGGATAGTTTAATGGATATCCATGGATAAAATAAATGAATATTTAAATATCCGTTATTTAATGGATGTGGATGCGGGTTTAATGATACCCGTACCCGCGGATATCCATACCCGTTAATAAATTATAAAAAATATTTAAATATTTTTAATTTATTATAGACGTCATTACATCTTCCAAGAAATTTAATCTTTTCATATTTTATTTGAAATCTTTTAAGCTTTTAATTTAGGAGTTAGGAAACCAAAATATAAATGTTAATCAAGGAATGCATAATATGAAATTTTGTAATGATTGATGAAAACTATTTGCATTATCACTTTTTGTTTTATTTAAACAATTATTATATGGTATGATGAATTTTATTTTGTTAAAAATGAAATGTATGGATATTATGTTTGAATGTTATTATGTTTTAGTGAAAAAAGAATGAAAATAATATGATGAAATTTAGTTGTTAAATTGAGAGCGAAAAAATATATTTTTAAAAAATAATTTTAGACAAAAAAAATTATTCATGGATATCTATAAATATCCGCAGATACCTTAAAACCCGTGGATTACCCGCTTAACTGATATCTGTATGGATATGAGGCAGATATGGATATCATATTTATCCAACGGGGCAGACACGAGTATCATACTATCTGCCCCCATGAATATCCATTTACATCCCTAATTAAGAATAATAGAGCATATATGTTGAAAATGCAATTATATGTTTTATCTCAAATTAAAATATTAGGATCCAAAAGAGAAAGTGAGAAGATGAATTTTCGAAGTGTTAGGTTATTTATATGAATGAATTGGTAACATAGAGCTCCTAACACCTTGGCAATTAAAAGACATATCTCACTGTTACTGAATGCTTTGGAATAGTCATTGATGATGCTTGAAATTTTGTGGATATGGAGACCCCATTTCATGAATTACCATTATTTTGGTAGATTACTTGTGGAACTCATCTTATGACATAGAGGAAAGTTCTAACTCCTCCTATGTGTTATAGGGGTGAATTTTAATGTGCATAAATTATATTACCTTTTCGAATTATAAAACATAACATCTAGTTTTTTAGGCTCAGTTGCAAATTTCCAATTTTTAAAATTCAATTGTAAAATCAACTCTGCTTGTTGGGTCGTCAATTTTAGAGATCAACACGAGAGAGAATTTTATATTGAAGACTTTTTTATGAGCAACACACTTTATTAAAAACACACCATATATTTACTAAAAACTTTAAGGTGATAGATATGTAGATTTTTTCACTTATAAATACTCAAGTCTTCACTTGTTTCTCAACACTTCCAACTCACACTTGTTTTTCTCAACAACCCTCTCAAGTGTGATTCTATCCACAATATTTTCCCTTAAAGCGGTGATTTTTATTAACATACACTTTGTATCGTCGTTGACAGTTTTTCAAAGGAATATGTCTCCTACTCACCACCATGCACTGGGAAGGTTTTCGATACAAGTGAGTTAGTCCTTCACTCAAACCAACGACTCGGGATATCGCTATTAGTTCACACGTTCTTTGATTCCTTGAGGGTCAATATGAGGGGACATCTACATTGGCAGTACAAAGTGTATATGGATGAAAAAACTTTCGTTTGAGGGGAGCAGTATGAATAGACTCACACTTGAGAGAGAGTGTTGAGAAAAACAAGTGTGAATTGGAAGCGTTGAGAAACATGTTAAGTGAAAAAGTGTAACTTATGTACCTGTAACCGATTACTGTGGGAATGTAACTGGTTACATCCCCTTTAAAAAAGAAACAAAATGTTAGTGTAACCAATTATAGTTTATCAGTAACCGGTTATTGTAGAATTTTCTATAACCGATTACTGCGGTAGAATTTTCTATTTTTTTGTTTGTTACTTGTACTTCACTCAATGTATTTGTGTATCTCTCTCTCTCTCTCTCTCTCCATATATCTATATCTATATCTATATATATATATATATATATATATATATATATATATATATATATACACACATATATATATATATATATATATATATATATATATATATATATATATATATATATATATATATATATATATATATATATATATATATATATATATATATATACCCTTTAAGTATCTCATTAATGGTTGGACTATCATTTTCATCCTCAATAATTATTCTCTCTCTCTCTCTCTCTCTCTCTCTCTCTCTCTCTCTCTCTCTCTCTCTCTCCTCTCTCTCTCAAAGTTAGAAATCACCATCATTGTGGTTCTTTGTTCTAACATTTGGCATCAAGAGTCTGGTTCGATCCATCAAACACTTAGTGGCCAACCATTGATTCTAAATGGCCTCTTCATCAAGGCATGGCCTCTAATCTCAAAGTTTTTGATCTCAAGCATCACTCAATATCATTTTGATCAAAGATATCTCAAGGTTTAGTAGTTTGTTTCTCAAGATAAGTCAAAGGTTCATGTGTTTATTTCCATGCGTTCATCAATAAGTTATCTCAAACTTTGGTCAATTTAATCAAGGGAAATTCAATGGAAACTTATTTTGAGTTCATATGATGATTTATGTGTTTTAAAATGCAAGAAAAGATCAAGATCACAAGTTGGTCCAAGGAAGTTTGACCTAAAAGTCAATATTTTCAAGTCAAAGTTCCAAAGAGCAAATTCCTTCAGTTCTTAATATTTTTGAATGCTTATTTTTGCATATGACTCTTATCAACATCATCTTCAACTTCTATTTACATGACAAGAGCCAATTATGCTTGGAGGATCATCAAAAGTTTAGAGACATTATAGGTCATTTATGGGCTAAGTGAATTTGTTTGCCTATTTTCAAGTGACTTTTTCTCAACTTTTAAGAATCATAACTTCTTCAATTTTAAACATATGAATCTCATTCATTTTGCATAATAATATTTGTGATACTCTGTACAAGATTGCTTCAAAGGTCAAAGTCAAATTGTTCTTGGAAGGCCATGGAATTCATTGATACATTTTAGGCCATTTTCAGCCATTTGGACTTAAAAACTTACAAGTTTGGTTTTCCAGATTATTGTGCCAACTTTGACATGCCATAAATATTTGCTCAAGCATTCAAATTAAATCTTTCTTGGCATATTGTGATATTTTCCATGATTTTGATCAATTGCAAAAAGAATTGGATAAAAAGTCTCTTGTACAAGGTGCCCCATTGATGCAAACATGGTGACTTAGAACTGAAATTTTGCACCATGACCAGATTTTTGCTCCAACTAAACTTCAATTACAAGTCAAATTAACACGTGACATGCATCTAAACATGATTAACCAAGTTTCCTGAAGTTAATTGAGTGGTAAAACGTATGGTTTGGATGAGTTTTGAGCCAATTCAAGTCACATTTTCATCATGACCAAGGGTGCATACGATTACACTGAATTTCCACTCAACTCACCCCTCTCAGTATTACATCATCTTAAGCTATAAATAGAGGTTCATTATACCTTCATTCCCAAGTTTTTGAGAGCCAGAAAACCCCTGCCCCACATTCAAATTTTCGGAAAAAAAAGTGAGCTATCGTGTTTCAGTTTCCAGCCACTCTCACTTCAATTTCTTGATTCCTTAAGCTTCATCATGTTCTTATGAAACTTTTGCAAAAAATTTCAAGCTCTAAGAGTCCCTGAATTTCTCCAACCAAATCCAGTTTCAAAGCTTCTCATATCATTTTAGGACAAGGCAGTTTGAAGCTCCATTTTCACTCAAACAAGTTCCCTCAATATAGTCTTTTGCTTGCTGAATGTTTCCCCTAACCTAGCTGGTGTTGATTCTTCTTATGCATCATTTAATTTTTGTTTTTGTGTTTTTATGTTCTTTTGATTTTCCTCAAAATTCTCTCTACTCCTTTTCAATAAATGAAAATGGAGAGTGAGGTTGAGTCTGCCTTGATGAGACGATTCTAATTATATAGGTCTCATGATCTATCTTTACCATTTGTGGATTCTCTAGTGAGAGCTCACCAAAGAAGACGACCAGAGAGGATGAACGATGACATGAGGTGTCTTCCACTTTGGCAGAATGAAATATTTTGATTAAATAATTTCAAATGTGTTCCTATGCTATTTCTGATTTAATTTCCACCATACATCCTTATCTTAGGAGCGTGGAATATGCCACGTCATTTAATGAGACTTGAT